TTATTATACTCCTGCTCTCCCAGTACATGGAGTTACTGTGTATATAGTTATTATACTCCTGCTGTCTCAGTACATGGAGATACTGTGTATATAGTTATTATACACCTGCTCTCCCAGTACATGGAGTTACTGTGTGTATATAGTTATTATACTCCTGCTCTCCCAGTACATGGGGTTACTGTGTATATATAGTTATTATACTCCTGCTGTCTCAGTACATGGAGTTACTGTGTATATATAGTTATTATACTCCTGCTGTCTCAGTACATGGAGTTACTGTGTATATATAGTTATTATACTCCTGCTGTCTCAGTACATGGAGTTACTGTGTATATAGTTATTATACTCCTGCTCTCCCAGTACATGGAGTTACTGTGTATATATAGTTATTATACTCCTGCTCTCCCAGTACATGGAGTTACTGTGTATATATAGTTATTATACTCCTGCTCTCCCAGTACATGGAGTTACTGTGTATATATAGTTATTATACTCCTGCTGTCTCAGTACATGGAGTTACTGTGTATATAGTTATTATACTCCTGCTGTCTCAGTACATGGAGATACTGTGTATATAGTTATTATACTCCTGCTTCCATGGAGTTACTGTGTATATAGTTATTATACTCCTACTTTCTAGGCTATGGAGTTACTGTGTATATAGTTATTATATTCTGCTGTCTCAGTACATGGAGTTACTGTGTATATATAGTTATTATACTCCTGCTCTCCCAGTACATGGAGTTACTGTGTATATAGTTATTATACTCCTGCTGTCTCAGTACATGGAGATACTGTGTATATAGTTATTATACTCCTGCTCTCCCAGTACATGGAGTTACTGTGTGTATATAGTTATTATACTCCTACTCTCCCAGTACATGGAGTTACTGTGTATATAGTTATTATACTCCTGCTGTCTCAGTACATGGAGTTACTGTGTATATATAGTTATTATACTCCTGCTCTCGCAGTACATGGAGTTACTGTGTATATAGTTATTATACTCCTGCTGTCTCAGTACATGGAGATACTGTGTATATAGTTATTATACTCCTGCTCTCCCAGTACATGGAGTTACTGTGTATATAGTTATTATACTCCTGCTGTCCCAGTACATGGAGTTACTGTGTGTATATAGTTATTATACTCCTGCTCTCGCAGTACATGGAGTTACTGTGTATATAGTTATTATACTCCTGCTGTCTCAGTACATGGAGTTACTATGTATATAGTTATTATACTCCTGCTCTCTCAGTACATGGAGTTACTGTGTATATAGTTATTATACTCCTGCTCTCCCAGTACATGGAGTTACTGTGTATATAGTTATTATACTCCTACTCTCCCAGTACATGGAGTTACTGTGTATATAGTTATTATACTCCTGCTGTCTCAGTACATGGAGTTACTGTGTATATATAGTTATTATACTCCTGCTCTCCCAGTACATGGAGTTACTGTGTGTATATAGTTATTATACTCCTACTCTCCCAGTACATGGAGTTACTGTGTATATAGTTATTATACTCCTGCTGTCTCAGTACATGGAGTTACTGTGTATATATAGTTATTATACTCCTGCTCTCGCAGTACATGGAGTTACTGTGTATATAGTTATTATACTCCTGCTGTCTCAGTACATGGAGATACTGTGTATATAGTTATTATACTCCTGCTCTCCCAGTACATGGAGTTACTGTGTATATAGTTATTATACTCCTGCTGTCCCAGTACATGGAGTTACTGTGTGTATATAGTTATTATACTCCTGCTCTCGCAGTACATGGAGTTACTGTGTATATAGTTATTATACTCCTGCTGTCTCAGTACATGGAGTTACTGTGTATATATAGTTATTATACTCCTGCTCTCGCAGTACATGGAGTTACTGTGTATATATAGTTATTATACTCCTGCTGTCTCAGTACATGGAGATACTGTGTATATAGTTATTATACTCCTGCTCTCGAAGTACACGGAGTTACTGTGTATATATAATTATTAAGTGTTCTTGCATAGCAAGACCACTTAAAGGACCACTATAGTGCCCCCACCCTCAGGGTCCCCCTCCCGCCCGGCTCTGGAAAGGGGAAAAGGGGTTAAACTTACCTTTTTCCAGCGCTGGGCGGGGAGCTCTCCTCCTCCGTTCCTCCTCCTGGGCTGAATGCGCACGCGCGGCAAGAGCTGCGCGCGCATTCAGCCCGTCGCATAGGAAAGCATTTACAATGCTTTCCTATGGACGCTTGCGTGCTCTCACCGTGAAAATCACAGTGAGAAGCACGCAAGCGCCTCTAGTGGCTGTCAATGAGACAGCCACTAGAGGAAATAGGGGAAGGCTTAACCCATTAATAAACATAGCAGTTTCTCTGAAACTGCTATGTTTATGAAAAAACGGGTTAACCCTAGCTGGACCTGGCACCCAGACCACTTCATTAAGCTGAAGTGGTCTGGGTGCCTAGAGTGGTCCTTTAATGTTATCTCACATATAGGTTATTCTTATTATAGCCAAATTTACACCGTAACTCCTTCCACAATTTTTACACTACATAGACAGTAATATACCGAAACGTGCGGATTGTTCCCGATTGGATTGCTATTACTTTGTGGAACATTTCGCCGAATGGTTCACGGAATATTGTCGTTCTTGTGGCGAAATTGGTCCCATAGAAATGAATGGCAAAATGTTCCAAACTAGAGTGGGAGCTGGCAAAAGCTGAAAAATCAGGACATGATTTCTAAACTGCCACCACTCCATCATTTTTAAGCCCACCTACACAAATCTTATATCAAAACGTTCAGCTATCCCTGCTGCCACTAAACATGCCCACGGCTAAGCCATAGTGCTGATAGTTTTCACACTATGACCATTTGTTTGCAACTCACGCCGTCCATTGACATTCATTGAAACTCCACTCTAGCCAGCTCATACTTGAAGGACAATTTCTAAACTGCGACTGTGCCTTCATTTTTAATACTTCAGAGACATACTATGCATCAAAATGTAGGTCTGGGTCTTGTGATTCTCACAATACAACCGCCAAAATACTCTGACCTGTGCCAGGCTGGAGCAGCAAGTGATGTCATAGACAGGGCCTTTTGTACACCTGCTAATGTTTTTATAAATGTATGTTGCAATTAAATGTGCTATATAAATAAATAATAACAGTTACTCCGCCCACTCCAGTTGTAGACTACTGGTGGAGGCAAGAACACTTCACACAATTTCCCCAGAAATTGTAGCTTTTCTAGTTATTAATCTCCGTACATGGAGTTACTGTGTGTGCATAGTTATTAATCTCAGTACATGGAGTTACTGTGTGGATATATAGTTGCAAGAAAACGTATGTGAGCCCTTTGGAATTATATGGATTTCTGCACAAATTGGTCATAAAATGTGATCTGATCATCATCTAAGTCATAACAATAGACAATCACAGTCTGCTTAAACTAATAACACACAAAGAATGAAATCTTGCCATGTTTTTATTGAACACACCATGTAAACATTCACAGTGCAGGTGGAAAAAGTATGTGAACCCCTAGACTATTGACATTTCCAAGAGCTAATTGGAGTGAGATATCAGCCAACTGGAGTCCAATCAATGAGATGAGATTGGAGGTGTTGGTTACAGCTGCCCTGCCCTATAAAAAACACACACCCGTTCTGGGTTTGCTTTTTACAAGAAGCATTGCCTGATGTGAATGATGCCTCTCACAAAAGAGCTCTCAGAAGACCTACGTTTAAGAATTGTTGACTTGCATAAAGCTGGAAAGGGTTATAAAAGTATCTCCAAAAGCCTTGCTGTTCATCAGTCCACGGTAAGACAAATTGTCTATAAATGGAGAAAATTCAGCACTGCTGCTACTCTCCCTAGGAGTGGCCATCCTGTAAAGATGACTGCAAGAGCACAGTGCAGACTGCTCAATGAGGTGAAGAAGAATCCTAGAGTGTCAGCTAAAGACTTACAAAAGTCACTGGCAAATGCTAACATCCCTGTTAGTGAATCTACAATACGTAAAACACTAAACAAGAATGGATTTCATGGGAGGTTACCACAGAGGAAGCCACTGCTGTCCAAACAAAACACTGCTGCACGTTTACAGTTTGCACAAGAGCACATGGATGTTCCACAGCAGTACTGGCAAAATATTCTGTGGACAGATGAAACCAAAGTTGAGTTGTTTGGAAGAAACACACAATACTATGTGTGGCGAAAAAAAGGCACGGCACACCAACATCAAAACCTCATCCCAACTGTGAAGTATGGTGGTAGGGGCATCATGGTTTGGGGCTGCTTTGCTGTGTCAGGGCCTAGATGGATTGCTATCATCGAAGGAAAAATGAATTCCCAAGTTTATCAAGACATTTTGCAGGAGAATGTAAGGCCATCTGTCTACCACCTGAAGCTCAACAAAAGATGGGTGTTGCAACAGGACAATGACCCAAAGCATAGAAGTAAATCAACAACAGAATGGCTTAAACAGAAGAAAATATGCCTTCTGAAGTGGCCCATTCAGAGTCCTGACCTCAACCCGATTGAGATGCTGTGGCATGACCTCAAGAAAGCGATTCACACCAGACATCCCAAGAATATTGCCGAACTGAAACAGTTCTGTAAAGAGGAATGGTCAAGAATTACTCCTGACCGTTGTGCACGTCTGATGGAGTAGATGGAGTTACTGTGTGGGTATAGTTACTCTCGGTAAGATGGGTTACTGTGTGGGTATGTAGTTATTACTCTCGGTACGCGGGTTACTGTGTGGGGTATAGTTAATTACTCTCGATGGGTTACTGTGTGGGTATGGTTATTACTCTCGGTACATGGGTTACTGTGTGGGTATGATTATTATCTCTAGTAGATGCGATTTTCAATGAATTGTAGTTTATTTACTCTCGTGCATGAGGTTACTGGGTATAAGTTATTACTCTCAGTAGATATGGAGTTACTGTGTGGGTATAGTTAAGCCGTAGATGGAGTTACTGTGAGGGTATAGTTATTACTCTCAGTAGATGGAGTTACTGTGTGGGTATAGTTATTACTCTCGGTACATGGAGTTACTGTGTGGGTATAGTTATTACTCTCGGTACATGGAGTTACCGTGTGGGTATAGTTATTACTCTCAGTAGATGGAGTTACCGTGTGGGTATAGTTATTACTCTCAGTAGATGGAGTTACTGTGAGGGTATAGTTATTACTCTCAGTAGATGGAGTTACTGTGTGGGTATAGTTATTACTCTCGGTACATGGAGTTACTGTGTGGGTATAGTTATTACTCTCGGTACATGGAGTTACCGTGTGGGTATAGTTATTACTCTCAATTTTGAGGGGAGTTACATTCTTGGAGTATGGTTGTACTCTCAGTACAGAGGAGTTACTGTGTGGTATAGTTATTACTCTCAGTAGATGGGTTACATTAAATGGGTATGTAGTTATTACTCTCAGTAGATGGAGATTTACTGTGTGGGTATAGTTCTACTCTCAGTAGATGGAGTTACGTGTGGGTACTGGTTATTACTCTCAGTGAGTGGGTTACAATGATGGGTATAGTTTATTACTCTCGGTACATGATTTTTATTGTGGGGATAGTTATTACTCTCTAATTAGATGGAGTTACTGTGTGGGTATAGTATTACTCTCAGTACATGGAGTTACTGTTATTTGGGGATGATTATTACCTAATATTAGATGGAGTTACTGTGGGTATAGTTATTACTCTCAGGAGATGTAGTTACTGTGTGGGTATAGTTATTACTCTCAGTAGATGGAGTTACTGTGTGGGTATAGTTATTACTCTCAGTAGATGGAGTTACTGTGTGGGTATAGTTATTACTCTCAGTAGATGGAGTTACTGTGTGGGTATAGTTATTACTCTCAGTAGATGGAGTTACTGGGTGGGTATAGTTATTACTCTCAGTAGATGGAGTTACTGGGTTTGTATAGTTATTACTCTGAGTACAGGGAGTTACTGGGTGGGTATAGTTATTACTCCCAGTAGATGGAGTTACTGTGTGGGTATAGTTATTACTCTGAGTACAGGGAGTTACTGTGTGGGTATAGTTATTACTCTCAGTAGATGGAGTTACTGTGTGGGTATAGTTATTACTCTGAGTACAGGGAGTTACTGTGTGGGTATAGTTATTACTCTCAGTAGATGGAGTTACTGTGTGGGTATAGTTATTACTCTCAGTACATGGAGTTACTGTGTGGGTATAGTTATTACTCTCAGTACAGGGAGTTACTGTGAGGATATAGTTATTACTCTTAGTAGATGGAGTTACTGTGTGGGTATAGTTATTACTCTCAGTAGATGGAGTTACTGTGTGGGTATAGTTATTACTCTCAGTACAGGGAGTTACTGTGTGGGTATAGTTATTACTCTCAGTACAGGGAGTTACTGTGTGGGTATAGTTATTACTCTCAGTAGATGGAGTTACTGTGTGGGTATAGTTATTACTCTCAGTACATGGAGTTACTGTGTGGGTACAGTTATTACTCTCAGTACATGGAGTTACTGTGTGGGTACAGTTATTACTCTCAGTAGATGGAGTTACTGTGTGGGTATAGTTATTACTCTCAGTACATGGAGTTACTGTTTGGGTATAGTTATTACTCTCAGTAGATGTAGTTACTGTGTGGGTACAGTTATTACTCTCAGTACATGGAGTTACTGTGTGGGTATAGTTATTACTCTCAGTACAGGGAGTTACTGTGAGGATATAGTTATTACTCTCAGTAAATGGAGTTACTGTGTGGGTATAGTTATTACTCTCAGTAGATGGAGTTACTGTTTGGGTATAGTTATTACTCTCAGTAGATGGAGTTACTGTGTGGGTATAGTTATTACTCTCAGTAGATGGAGTTACTGTTTGGGTATAGTTATTACTCTCAGTAGATGGAGTTACTGTGTGTATATAGTTATTACTCTCAGTAGATGGAGTTACTGTGTGTATATAGTTATTACTCTCAGTAGATGGAGTTACTGTGTGGGTATAGTTATTACTCTCGGTAGATGGAGTTACTGTGTGGGTATAGTTATTACTCTCAGTACATGGAGTTACTGTGTGGGTATAGTTATTACTCTCAGTACAGGGAGTTACTGTGAGGATATAGTTATTACTCTCAGTAGATGGAGTTACTGTGTGGGTATAGTTATTACTCTCAGTAGATGGAGTTACTGTGTGGGTATAGTTATTACTCTCAGTAGATGGAGTTACTGTGTGTATATAGTTATTACTCTCAGTAGATGGAGTTACTGTGTGGGTATAGTTATTACTCTCAGTAGATGGAGTTACTGTGTGTATATAGTTATTACTCTCAGTACAGGGAGTTACTGTGAGGATATAGTTATTACTCTCAGTAGATGGAGTTACTGTGTGGGTATAGTTATTACTCTCAGTAGATGGAGTTACTGTGTGTATATAGTTATTACTCTCAGTAGATGGAGTTACTGTGTGGGTATAGTTATTACTCTCGGTAGATGGAGTTACTGTGTGGGTACAGTTATTACTCTCAGTAGATGGAGTTACTGTGTGGGTATAGTTATTACTCTCAGTAGATGGAGTTACTGTGTGGGTATAGTTATTACTCTCAGTACATGGAGTTACTGTGTGGGTATAGTTATTACTCTCGGTACATGGAGTTACTGTGTAGGTATAGTTATTACTCTCAGGAGATGGAGTTACCGTGTGGGTACAGTTATTACTCTCAGTACAGGGAGTTACTGTGTGGGTATAGTTATTACTCTCAGTAGATGGAGTTACTGTGTGGGTATAGTTATTACTCTCAGTACAGGGAGTTACTGTGTGGGTATAGTTATTACTCTCAGTACAGGGAGTTACTGTGTGGGTATAGTTATTACTCTCAGTAGATGGAGTTACTGTGTGGGTATAGTTATTACTCTCAGTACATGGAGTTACTGTGTGGGTATAGTTATTACTCTCGGTAGATGGAGTTACTGTGTGGATATAGTTATTACTCTCAGTACATGGAGTTACTGTGTGGGTATAGTTATTACTCTCAGTACATGGAGTTACTGTGTGGCTATAGTTATTACTCTCAGTACATGGAGTTACTGTGTGTGTATAGTTATTACTCTCAGTAGATGGAGTTACTGTGTGGGTATAGTTATTACTCTCGGTAGATGGATTTACTGTGTGGGTATAGTTATTACTCTCAGTAGATGGAGTTACTGTGTGGATATAGTTATTACTCTCAGTAGATGGAGTTACTGTGTGGGTATCGTTATTACTCTCAGTAGATGGAGTTACTGTGTGGGTATAGTTATTACTCTCAGTAGATGGAGTTACTGTGTGGGTATAGTTATTACTCTCAGTACATGGAGTTACTGTGTGGGTATAGTTATTACCCTCAGTAGATGGAGTTACTGTGTGGGTTTAGTTATTACTCTCAGTACATGGAGTTACTGTGTGGGTATAGTTATTACTCTCGGTAGATGGAGTTACTGTGTGGGTATAGTTATTACTCTCAGTAGATGGAGTTACTGTGTGGGTATAGTTATTACTCTCGGTAGATGGAGTTACTGTGTGGGTATAGTTATTACTCTCGGTAGATGGAGTTACTGTGAGGGTATAGTTATTACTCTCAATACATGGAGTTACTGTGTGGGTATAGTTATTACTCTCGGTAGATGGAGTTACTGTGTGGGTATAGTTATTACTCTCGGTAGATGGAGTTACTGTGTGGGTATAGTTATTACTCTCAGTAGATGGAGTTACTGTGAGGGTATAGTTATTACTCTCAGTACATGGAGTTACTGTGTGGGTATAGTTATTACTCTCAGTAGATGGAGTTACTGGGTGGGTATAGTTATTACACTCAGTTCCATGCAGTTACTGTGTGGGTATAGTTATTACTCTCAGTACATGGAGTTACTGTGTGGGTATAGTTATTACTCTCGGTAGATGGAGTTACTCTCAGTAGATGGAGTTACTGTGAGGGTATAGTTATTACTCTCAGTAGATGGAGTTACTGTGTGGGTATAGTTATTACTCTCAGTAGATGGAGTTACTGTGTGGGTATAGTTATTACTCTCAGTAGATGGAGTTACTGTGTGGGTATAGTTACTGTGTGGGTATAGTTATTACTCTCAGTAGATGGAGTTACTGTGTGGGTATAGTTATTACTCTCAGTACATGGAGTTACTGTGTGGGTATAGTTATTACTCTCAGGAGATGGAGTTACTGTGTGGGTATAGTTATTACACTCAGTAGATGGAGTTACTGTGTGGGTATAGTTATTACTCTCAGTAGATGGAGTTACTGTGTGGGTATATTTATTACTCTCAGTAGATGGAGTTACTGTGTGGGTATAGTTATTACTCTCAGTAGATGGAGTTACTGTGTGGGTATAGTTATTACTCTCAGGAGATGGAGTTACTGTGTGGGTATAGTTATTACTCTCAGGAGATGGAGTTACGGTGTGGGTATAGTTATTACTCTCAGGAGATGGAGTTACTGTGTGGGTATAGTTATTACTCTCAGTAGATGGAGTTACTGTGTGGGTATAGTTATTACTCTCAGTAGATGGAGTTACTGTGTGGGTATAGTTATTACTCTCAGTAGATGGAGTTACTGTGTGAGTATAGTTATTACTCTCAGTACATGGAGTTACTGTGTGGGTATAGTTATTACTCTCAGGAGATGGAGTTACTGTGTGGGTATAGTTATTACTCTCAGTAGATGGAGGAGTTACTGTGTGGGTATAGTTGGTTACCTCAGAGCATTTGAGTTACTGTGTGGGTATAGTTTATTACTCCTCAGGAGATGGAAGTTACTGGTAGTGGGTATAGTTATTACTCAGTAGATGGAGTTACTGTGGGTATACATTACTCCCAGTAGATGGAGTTACTGTGTGGGTATGAAGCTTTTCATTACCTCAGCAGATGGAGAGCTACTGTGTGGAGCCACCTCAGTAGATGGAGTTACTGTGTGGGTATAGTTATTACTCTCGGTACATGGAGTTACTGTGTGGGTATAGTTATTACTCTCAGTAGATGGAGTTACTGTGTGGGTATAGTTATTACTCTCTGTACATGGAGTTACTGTGTGGGTATAGTTATTACTCTCAGGAGATGTAGTTACTGTGTGGGTATAGTTATTACTCTCAGTACATGGAGTTACTGTGTGGGTATAGTTATTACTCTCATGAGATGTAGTTACTGTGTGGGTATAGTTATTACTCTCAGTA